TTAAGAGAAACTCAGTCTGGATGCAATAGGAACGAGTGTAATATAATCAGGCCTTTAGAAATACATATGGCATTGTTGAGCTAGAGCTCGTCTTGAACATGAGCTATCGGGGGTAGGGCACAACTGGGTAGAAGCACAACAGTGAAGTGAGACTGATCTGAAAACCTAGACACATGGTATGGAGTCAAAAGAGGAGGTAGAGGAAGGGTTTGCAGCAGGATTTCTGGAGTTTCCGGGAAAGAGTTTATTCAATGATAAGAAAGGGTTAGAAGCAACTTGCAAAAGACCAGACGACACTGAAGGTGGGAAAGAGACAGTGCTGAGTAGAATCTCCAAAGGAGAAAATTTACTGCCTTCGGGTTTAGGCTCAAAATCTTAACTGCAGACACTTATAAAAATACTCTGTGTGCCAAACACTGTTCTAAGTATTAATTCATTAAGAGGGAACATTTCAAATTAAGAACCCCAGTTAGACCAGACAGGATGGTGAGGACCAGGAATGTAGGATCTTTGACAAAGGCAGCAGTAACATTATTCCAAAGAATCAGCATATAGATTGGGCTCACCTGTTTATAAATAAAGACTGTGCACCTGCACCTTGGCTTCCTGTCAGAAGTTTGTACTTTGAGTTTAGCAAGAACTGAATGCATGCATCTCTTCCTAGAACTGAGAGCATGCAACTCTGCTCAGTAGCACACATTGGCAGTTTGGAATGGACTGTAGTAGGAACATTTACACCACAGAAATTGGCAAACACTACATACAGTTCAGGGCTCTCTCCCTACTTCACCCCCTAGGGCCATTTATCAGCATCTCCGTATATTTATGGGGTACTGCCTAACCTATTTTACAGATCCATCCAACAGGCCATTCAGCACCCACTGCACCTAAGATATTGTGTAAGGTGCTGGAGACAAAGCAGTGAGTGACAGATATGGAGCCCTGTCCTCGTGGAGTTCACAATGTAGTATGGGGAACAGAAATAATGTTAAATGTTAACACGGGATACAGAAGCCATCTCACCCTCTCTACCTGATCCTGCAGCTTATTTCTCTAGCATTTTTAATAGAGCAGCAAAGTACAATGCCCTCGCTATTTTCGCACTGCTTGCCCTTCCAGCCCAGCATTTCCTTATCAATAATAGGTAACTTCTTCAGCGCTGCTGGGCGGGCCACTTCCCAGTTCAGAGGTTTTCGCTGTAAGGGAGAAAGCCAATACCTTAGCAGAGCAGGTTCTGCAAAACCTCCCTCCTCCCCCCACTTGCACCTGGCCATCCTAGCTCCCTGCCACTCTTCTGCTCCCCAGGACATCACGGTTTCCATGGGAACCCACTCACTTCAAAGGGGAATGAAGGAGAATGGAGGGGAGGAGGGAGAGCGAAAGCTGGATTAACCTCACCCTCTTGGCCCTGTCTTTGCACAGCCAGCGTCGTAATCCCCAGGTCTCAGACGGCACCTGACACCTGGCCATGGTCCAGCAGCATGGGCAAATGGGGGTGTTTGAACTTCTTTGGGAGAAAATGTCAGGGTGGTTGAGGTTGAGGGGAGGAAGGTGGAAAACGAGAGATCTGAGTTGGGTCCAAACCTTACCCCCCCCACACACACCACCAGGCCTCCTCAGACCTCCTCTCATCCTAGCTCCTGGGCCACAAACACAATTACCCGGGATGTGCATCCAATCATGGGATCTGCTCGGATTAGACTGCAATCATTAATCTGAGCGGGAGCTCCTGGTTGCTTTGCTGATTAGCCCAGATGATGCTCTGGTATGATCCAATTAAAGACAGGCTCTGCTTTCCCCCACCCCCAGCTTCTACATCAGAAGGGAACCAATACATTTCATTAGCACATCTTCATACACAAATAAAACCTCTGGGGCACTGGCAGCCTCCCTCCCCTTTGTCACTCTGCCCCTCTACCACCCAGCAGGGCCAGAGCAAGGCTTCCCTGACTTTTCTCTGTGGTTCTGGAAGGGGTATGGCAGGGGCTTCCAAAAGTCAGTCCTGGGCACTAATCTGAATGAAAGGGTCTTGTTACATTTATTGACATGAAATGGGACTCCCTGGTGTGCTTTGGAGCAACCAGGCTGCCCTAGGCAGGCAATCTAATTAAAATTACTGAACCCTACAGAACCCGGGTCATCCCACAATGGCTGCCTAGAGGGCTGCTGGTACTAATGGGAGAGGTGTGGTTGTGGGAGAAAATCCTGGGGCACGGGACCAGAAGGCAATACAGGACTGGAGGGCTGGGGAGATAGGCTATGGAGTAGATCAGCTCCAACCAGCCAGTATGGAGCAAGCAGCCATGCTTGTCTAGGAGCCCCTCTACAGGATCAGATGACTGCAGATAGACTTTGGGCAAACTACAAAGAGCCGAGCGGTAAGCCTGGAGGGAAAAGGGAAAACTCTGGAGTGAAGATGAGCTGGAAGAAATGTTAGTTGAAGGAAGGCCTGGGCCATTTTTCAAGTGACATCATGGTAGACAGCTCCCATGGGACAGTGACCCACCTCTCCTGTAGCCTGGCCTGGAAGGAGTATGAGCCTGAGATCTTGGGAAGGACTTAGAACCCATGGATTCTTCTGGCGGAGACAAGGAAATTCAAGGTGTCAGGGGTTTACATGAACCATCTCATGAATTCTTACCAAATCTTCTGCTTTGGTTCTCTCATAAAACTAAAGTTCAGAGAGACTACAGACTAGTACTCCATGGAGGCAGAACTCAACCCACACTGCCAGAAACTTTCTGTTGTACTTGTAATCAAAGAGTTACTTACTCACCCCTACAGATCTTAGAAGATGCCCCAAATCAATTTTTAGTATGCATATGAATCACCTGGGACCTTGTGGAAGTGTAGATCATGAATCCTGTGGTCTAAGGGCCCCTGAGGTCCATATTTCTAATTAATTCTTACATGTCATGATGTTGCTAGTCCATGGACTATATATACTTGGAGTTATGATCCAAGTAGAATATGACGAACATATACCCAAAACTTTAGGCCACTGGGCAGTTTTCAGAGACCACTTTACTCCCTCTCTCTTAGGCTCCTCACGAAAGCACAAGCCCATCACACATTGCTCATGTTAATTGATGGGTGACCCTGCAGTCTCATCTTCCAAACCCAGCTGCCCTGGCCACTGGCTGTGCTTGAAACACCCCAGGTTCTCCTCTGCCTGGTTCTCCTCTGCCACTCCCTCCCCATATCACCACCTGGTGGGGTCCCTTACTCAGCCTATAAGACCAGACTCAAGTACAAAGTCTGCCCTGTTGCTGTGACCACACAGTGCTGGTTTCTTATTTGCATATCTATTGGTTCCTGGAGAGATAAAGGGAAGGGTTCATGCATTTACTTTCCTATCTGGCCCTCTTTCCCTAGAGTCTAGACAGTATCTGAAATATTAATAATAAGTGTTCAATAAAAGAGTATGAAAGAGGAGGGCTGGAGCTGGAGCTCAGTGGCAGAGCACTTGTCTAGCATGCGTGAGGCACTGGGTTCAATCCTCAGCACCACATTAAAATAAACAAATAAAATAAAGGTATTCTGTCCATCTACAACTACAAATTAAAAAAAAAGTGTGAAGGAAGGAGTATTAGAGAGAACAAGAGGTCACATCCCGCACTGGGGGAAGTTGGCTTGCCCTCCCTGAAAGTATCCCTGACAGATATTGTGACTAGATCCTGGAATTCTTTGGGGTCCAAGGTAAAGCTTGTACACACATTGCATAGGGTGGGGAACAGGCACTGTGTTTTATCCTTCTTTGGAATCTAGAAAGCCTTCAGTGGTACCAGCATTCACAGATCAGGCCAGTGCTCTGGAATCCCAATTGTTGGCATTAGAGGCATTCAGTTCATCTGAGTAACTAAAAATAATGCCAGTGATAATGATAATAACAGCACTAATTACCACTATTACCATAAAGGCATTGGCGGATACAGGAGTAAAGGAAGGAATCAACTCCCTTATTCATTTGTCTTGTGTTCATCATTTCACCTGTTACTAGTATTGGCTGCAATGTATACCCAGCCAGGGTAAACTGCACTTGCTGATGCATGGGAGCATATGATCTCCCACAGGTGAATATGAACCAGTGTCCAGCCTCAACAGAGTGCAGACTTAGGCATTTTTTCTTAGTAGTGTGAATTTCCCATGAATAAATGTTAACTAAAACCCTACTGGAACCTCATTCAGGCCTGTTCTCAGATGACCATATCTTATTTCCCAATCACATGCAAAAGAACTAGAGTTCATCAAGGCAGACAGTCACTTCCCTGAGCCTTATCCACCCCTCTGAAACATTCAGGACCCAGCATTGGCTGCATGGGGCAGATGCAAAACAGGACGAAGCAGAGGCCTGCCTATGTGCTCATCTTGCAGGAGAGCGTCCAGACCTACACAGTCACACACAACACCTACTACTAAAACAGACTCTCATGAATCAAAGCATGGTCCAAGGACCAGTTTCATCAGATTCACCTGGAATTATTTTTTAAAGTTCATGTTCCTCTTTCTATAGTTTGACCTACTGATTTAGCATCTCTGAGCATGGAGTCTATGATTTAGCCTCCCCATGCATGCATTCCAGGACTATGGGTTTTAACAATCTCCCACTGTGATTTGCATGCACACTGAAGTTTGTGTACTACCAAGTCCTGGATGGTACAATCAGATGTCTCCTGTTCTGCAGGACTTGCTGGAGTTAAGCTAACATTTGGAAGCAGAGCAAGGACAGAGTTCTGCCAAGCTGAAAGTTTCTGATGCTCATTAGGTCTCATCTCATTAGGGGTCCTCATGGGAGATACTGCCCCAGGTCTTCATATCCCTCACTGGACATTTCCAGTCAACCCATAATGGCCAACTAGGAGATTTCTGGATTGACTTGTTGGAGATTAGCTGTGGGACATTGCTGCTAATGCACCATCCTGGCCTGCATTTATTTCTCTCATAGTTGAACTGGGCTGAGACTTGCTGGGGGCTTCTGAGCATGATGAAGTGTCTCCTACCTGTACACAGCTCGCTTGTCAGCCTCCAGCTGGGCCTGAGGGTCAATGGGGGCACTGGGCACAGGTGTGCTGGCCGTAGCTGAGGGTGCAGAGATATGGACAGCCTGGGCCTTGGAGGGTGGCTGGGCAGTAGCCGTCATCTGCAGAAAGAAGAAAGGGGAGAGGTGGTTGGTTAGTTCAGCAGGTTCCTAAGCTGGAGTGTGAAGTCAAACTTGGCCTGTGGTGTACCTGGAGAAGAGAATGTCGGCAAGAGAGTTGTAAGTGCAAAATGAGCATCTATTTATACACATACTAACTATAGTGGCAAGGAAAGAAGGCCTTTTTGAAAAATATTTTTTATTTGTTCCAATTAGTTGTGCATAGCAGTAGAACGCATTTTGATACATCATACATAAATGGAGTAGTTTCTCATTTGTCTGGTTGTACATGATACAGAGTTTACACAGGTCATGTAATCATATATGCAGATAGTACAATAATGTTTGATTCATTCTACTATCATTCCCAACCCCACACACCCCATACCCTCCCTTCATTCCTCTCTGTCTACTCTAAAATACCTCTATTCTTCTCCCACCCCCTTGTTGTGAACTAGCATCCACACATCAGAGAAAACATTCAGTCTTTGGTTCTTTGGGATAGGCTTATTTCGCTTAGCATAATATTCTCCAGTTCCATTCATTTACCAGCAAATGCCATAATTTCATTCTGAAAGAAGGCCTTTTTTGAGTGGAAATGTTCTAGAAAAAATTGAAGCCATCTTACACCAGCACACTTTGAAATAGAGGTTCTTAATGTGAATGGGGTGAACTTTGTCCAGAAGTAGAAAAAAAAAAACAATACAAAGGACATTTAAATTATGCTTAGAGTCTTTGGATGATTTGATGACTTTGAAGAGCAAAAAAAAAAAGTAGCTGAATCAGTTCTCCTTGGGGCAGAGGTTTATTTATTCCTTTAAACATAAGCCAAGAGGTAATCCTTTTAACAGTTTTGATTTATGACTGAGTGGTTCTCCAAGTTTGGTAGATTTGGACAGATTCCTGCTGTTGGCTATAACAAATATTTAGAGAAGTGGTTTTCATCCTATGCTATAGCTTTTTGAAGGTGTCCCGAGGCCTCCAATTTTGTACCAACCAGAACAACTCCTTTCAATATTATATATTAGACTTCCTGTGTAAGGTTCATTTAAAGAAATGGTTCAGTAGCTTTAAAGTTTTTGAAAACCATCTTTATGAAATTTAATGCTTTTACATTATATTTCTTTCAGTCAAATAGATGCAAAAAGTGTGGCTGGTGACATGCCTTGAATGTTCTATTACATCAACCTGTCCCTAGCACCATGATAGCTCTTAGCACACTGTGTTATTGGCCTAAACATACTTGTCTGTCTCCTGTTCTGAGACTGTGTTTTCTCTTTCATTTAGTAACAATGCTTACTAAAAACAATTGATGCTTATTAAATATATTTGTTGAGAAAGTGAGTAAATGAATAAATGAATGAATACGCCTTGAAGGATTCGGATATTTTATAGCTGGGAAGTTCAGTTCATCATGGATCTAGGTCCCTGCTTTCTGGAAGAAAAAATATTGCATCTCTGAACACAAGTACATTATTGCTAATGTGTATATCCCTAAGACATTTGCACTTCTTAATTTATTTCCCTGCTCGGGCTCTGCCCCTTTGAAGTAAATTCCAGGCTCTCTGTCCATTGCTTTATTTTTCTGCATAGTCCTTATTATGATCATATACTATTTATTTGCTTTTTTATGTTCTCCTCATTCCCATCTAAAAATCAGGCTCGAGGAAGGCTAACAACAGTTTTATTTCTAGGGCTCAGAAGAGTCTGGCACATGTAGGTATATTCAATAAATATTTGTTGAATCAATTAATGAATGAATGACAGATGGTGAATGAAGTGAAGGCTATAAAAGAAATGTCTGTGCTTTACTGTATTCTTTTTTAGGAATAAATATACCTGTTATTGCTGGTTAAGCTGGGAGATGTTCCCAAATTCAGTGTATAAGAGGCTTGCTTGGCTGGGCCTCAAGGCAGCCTTGAAACTAGCAGATGATTGCTTGAATCCTACTGTCTCCCTCTATTAGCCTTTGACCTTGGGCAAATCCATTAACTTTTCTAAGATTCTGTTTTCTCATCAGTAAGCAAATTGGTGACCTTTTAGGATTCATGGGTATTAAGGAGGTGCTATAAGAGAAGATAGAAGCCAATTTTGTGCTTTCAAAATAGAGAAAGAGGGTAGCTTCAGAAAAAATGAAATCCTGTTAATCTTCACAGTGGCTTGGGCCAAATTCATTCATTCATTCACTTGCTAATGTAACTGACCATTTCTTCAGATACTTCTCAAGTCCCTGCATGTACTAGGGGGTCACAAAGACAAATGTCAGCTATCATGAAGCTCAATTTGTGGATTTGGCATGATAATTAAGCTGGAAGATCAGGAGAATCTGATGTAATTGACCTCAGTTAGGTATTTCCCATGATCTTATTGTGGAAAACATGGAGAGATGTGGCCCAGTGGATGACTGTATGGATTAATAAACCAAGGAATGACAAAGGAAAGATCTGGGCTTGGGGGAAGGTTCCTAGGAGAGTGCCACATAGTTAATTTCTCCTTCGTCCTCTTCAACATTTTTATCAGTGATTTAGAGGATGTCTGAAGAAATGCTCAACAAATTTATGGATGGCATGAAACAGATCCAAAAGATTTTTACAGATTTTGGCAATAGGCTAAAGCTAATAAGATTAATTTTCATCTAATAAGTTAACATTGAACACTTCTAACATTTGAGCACCCCCACCCCGCAATCAATAATGTAACTGTAGAACAGGGAAACATACTTAGCAGAAGTGTTTTACTTCACATCTAGTTGCATATATACAAAATATAATGGTGTAAAGTGTCTGTCAAAAAAGAACAACAACAAAGAATAATGTAGAAGCATGACTCATAGGATGAGGCAGGTTTTGGTCCTGTCCTACTGGGATTAAAGAAGTACATGAAAACACATATGGTGGAGGGCTGACTGGGATGGTAAAGGGCTTCTGTACCACGTCATGTGGAGAGGATTTAAAGGAACTTGAGATGTATCACAAGATTTGGGGAGTAGGGAGAAATGGGGAGATGAACACTCCCTTTGAACATCTGAATGAGGGGATTGGAGTAAATCAGTTCTGTTATGCATGCCCCAAAGGGCCAAGCTACAAATAATACTTTAAACCTAGGACAATGAGACAATCTAAATAATACCCACCCAAGCCCCTGACTCTTTGAGGCTGGAATGGGCTGCCTCCAGGAGGTACCCCCTAGGAAGGGGATGGGAACTTTAGCAGAGTGGCCAGGTTAGGGAACCGTGAAGTGCCCTCCAACCTTGAGGTATGGAGGCAATGAGGGTGCTTTAACAATCACCAACCCTAGCACAGGGTGGCCAGGGGATCTATCGGCATGTAAAAGGGCTTTGGAAACTCTGAAGTGCTTCACAGATGGAGGGGAGGTTGTTATTATTAAATACGAGATTTCCGTGATGTACTCCTGTCATAAAGCAAGGCACGGCTACAAATGCGTGGCTCGCTTGAGGGTGAAAAGTCAGGGCATTGGTAGGCATTGCTGGACCCACTGAATGAATTTCCTGGTGTCCTTGAAGAAATCCACAGGGGTTTCTGTTAGAATGAAAGTCTAAAATAGAAAGTGAGGAGGGAGATGTTCCTTGCCTCTCACTGTCCCCTTCCTAGGGAGGACCTTGTAGAAGGTGTGCGATGGCCCTACTGGGCTAAAGAGAAATGCACAGAACACAAATGTAAATCAAAAGCAGTCACTCTGTGCATCCCAAGGGGCCCCAGCTAGAGGCTGTTACTTGGGGGGGAGTGTGGGAAGAAGAGAGCAGAGCTGGTCTGAGGAGGAGGATAACTCAAATTTATGTAGCTCCTGGGGGCCAGTTCAGCAAACTCTGCATTTCTTCCTGGTTTGGAGGGTGAATGTTTATCTCCAGATAGATTTATTTTTCTAGCCAGAGACTTCCATTTCAAAGCTCAAAGGAATAAAATCTGCAATTGTCCACAGAGGGTCTGAGGGTTCTGCAGAGGGGTGGGGGTAACTTGAGATAAACTGTGGGGTGCACAGCCTAAAGAGTAGAAGTGGAGGAGAACCTGGGTGAACCAAGGCAGGCTGTGGCCTGCTGGGGTTACCTTGTCCTGGCCTGTGAGAGCCAATTGTTAAAATGTTCGGGAATTTGGTAAGCTGGTTGACATCACATGGGTATTTTGAAAGTGGCCATGGTGGGAATCTCTACACCAAGGAAATTGGCAAATGGTGCCAATCAGGGTCTACCTGTGCCCTCTCCTTCCTCACCTCTGGAGAGCCTGTTGTTACTAACACACCTCTAACTTCCAGGGTTCCCATCAAGTCACTTTCTTCCATTCTCAGTCTGATATGGGAAGAAACTGGCTTTACACAATCCATGAGGCCACTTGGTACTTTCAGAGCTGGTCCTAGAACTGGCCACTCCAGACTTGGAGCTTTCTTCTAAGGAAAACTCAGAGCACTCTAGGGACCTGCCTTGGTGACTCACTGGAGACAGGGTGAGGGAATGACATCAATATAGACATGCCAGGAGAAGCTAAGGTACAGACGGGAGAGGCAGAGCTGAGCAATGTCCTGAGAGCCAGCTGGAGGATCAGAAGTCTCAGAGTGGAAAGAGCTGGGGATCAGGCCAGGGTTTGATGCTCTTCTGCTAATTCTTAGCTACCTGTTTTTGTAGCAAGCTTCTTGACCTCTTTGGTTTCCTCACCTGTAAAATGCAGGAAGTTATGCCTTTGCACAGGTTGTGAGGATTAATTGAAAGAACAAGATAATGACTAGTGGATGGGGCAGGGTGGCATCTTGCCCTGGGGAGGCTTGCCCACTGTGAGCCATGATGCTGAACTCAGAACCTATGCAGGCTCTCTGGTTCCCATCTCTTCTCTTAGCTGTGGGTCCTTCTTGGAGCTAAGACCCTGGGACCAGCACCTCCATCATTTCCCTTTCTTGGATGCAATAACTATTGCATCTCATGTGGCTGGAACCAGCCCTCCCTGAAGTCTGAAGCTAAAGAGTTCCTTTCCACATTTTTGGTTTTTGACATATTG